TGAAATTTTGTCTTTGGCCATATTCTCTAAATAAGTGGGGAAAAGCATTTTGTAAGCAGCTCAGCCATTCTCCATATCTTTCGTTAGGTTCAGTGTGGCAAAACAATGCCAGTGAATGGTAACAGCCAGAGGTGTGACCAAGTCACTGCTTTGCAAGTCACAAGTAAGTCACAAGTTTTTCCAGTCAAGTCTCGAGTCAAGTCCAAGTCAAAGACAACCAAGTCCAAGTCCAGTCCAAAGTCAATGATCTGGAAGTCCAAGTCAAGTCAGAGTCCTTAACTTTGAATTTTCAAGCCACAATCAAGTCATCTGCAGAGCCGGATTAAATAAATGGACTACACTAGGCAGGCTGCATTTTTAGCCCCCCCCACCCCACCCTCCATCGATGTTATGTAATGAATTGAAATCTGAAACTTACAAAATTTACTCATAAAAGTTCATTCACATTTTACATAGCCTAGTTTTTGGTTACAAATTGGTTGTTTGTATGCCAAAATAAGTCATGTGTTGTAGGCTGTTGCCTCTGCTGAATCAGAAATTCTGTGTCAATTTTCTGAGTGTGAACTTATTGTTTTGCTATTTGAACATTAATAAAATTATTTGACAAATAATTAATAAAACCAGCAACACTTACCAAGGAAACCATTTAGCATTATCTACTCCGGGATAATCTTCAGCCTTCCAGCATCACATGGCCTCAGTCACAGCAGAAACACGTCTAAAGAAATGTTCCTTGGTTAAGCTTCAGTCTATGTCTCCAGATTTCCTCTGTGATGCAGAAGAATATCCAATATTTTGAGAGGGATAGTTTAATGCAAAGTACTCATCAGTTTGGTACCACTTTGCAGGATCAGATGGGTAGCTAGTTGTTAATACCCTGTCTGGGTCTAGAGGCTCCTATTGGGCTCACTTCTGGCTGGCTGCTGTTCTTCCAGTTTGTCCTTCTGTGAAGGCGCTGATGTTGACGGCGTTGGCGCTACATCGTCTTCCGCCGCATCTTCCACTGCGTCTTCGGGTTGTGTCTCCTCCGGGTCTTGCTCGGGCCCGGCCTCTGGCTCTGCTGACTCGAGCATGTTCACAGCTGTCGGACGGCTGCCCGAGCAGCCCGACAGAAACTTCTGTAAAGCCCCCCGCTGTCTCTTCTTTAGTTCCTCTTCATTTTTTTTTTACGTTTTGCCACACCCGAAAGCATCGTGAAAGTTAGCCTACTCAAAAACACCTGCTAGCTTTGTTGTGTCCCGCTCTGACTCTGACCGCTTCTCTGACGTCCTTCATTGGGTGGCGCCTTAACCCTCTGGGGTCCAGGGTGTAATTTGCCATCAGTTTTCCTTTGTATTTCCAAAATAAAAACCATAACCACTACCTTATGTGGTATCAATCTTTTCAGCACAACCTGGACTTTATGAATCTATGCTTATTTTGTATATTTGGACATAAAGGGGTTGCATGTTAGACCTTAAATCACTCAAAAACATAAAATCTGAATAGGAAAAAAGTTGTTTATTTTACTGTGAAACCAACAAACATTTATGACGAATGTTTTTTATCATTTAGACTGGTAATCTAGACTGTACATTTATAAAAAATATGACTAAATATAGCAAATAACTAATTTAAAAAAATTATTAGCTCTCTGGGATCCAGAGTGTAAATCACCGTTTTTGACTCATTTTGGTTTGTCTTTTGTATTTTCTAATAAAAACAATAAATATTGCCTTATGGGGTATCATTAATTTCAGGACAACCTGGACTATCTGAATTTATACTTATTTATTAATTTGGCAATAATATACATGGATTTTGGAGAGAGAAGAGTGGCTCCGTCTCACGCCGAGATCTGACAGCTGCGCGGCGCCGCCCACTCCTCTTGTTGGATCTCTGAGGAGCTGGATCTCTGCCTTCATCCTCTACCTCATCATGACCCAACTCTTCTATGAGGAAGGATGGATTTGCCACATCGTCATCAACATCCTCGCTATTTGCCTCAGACTCCGGCTGCGAGTCTCCGTCCACTTCCTCTGCTTCCAGTTCTAAAAACAGCCGTACTATCTGAACTGCCTGGTGGACATTTATCCTTCTCATCATCCTTTATATAAGCCTAGTAAAAGCCTACTAAACTGCAGTGACAATATATCTGTCCGGATCGCTCCAAAATACAAAGTTTACCGTCAATATCTGTCTAATTGTTTGTTGTTACTCCGTTCGCGCCACTCCTTTCCCCGCGAAGCGGCTCCTTTTTGCGCACATCTCGTTACTCGTGCAGCCTTCCTTTCTCTCTCTCAGCTACATAATACTTTTTGTCAGCTGAATATGTGAGACTTCCACCAACAGCAAAAGGATCTCGTGTTTTTGTGGGTTTTTAATGTTCACAAGCACATTCCCGCTCACAGATTACTAAACCGCTGTTTTGACAAGTTATCAGATTGTCTAAAAATAGGTCATTTTTTAGTTTAGTATAACTCCGCTTTTACGTTGCCTATTAACAAAATTTAAAAACTGGGGTGTAGTTTATAATCTCCTTTTTAAAGCCGAATTGAAACCGAAACTCAGGGAGGCGGAGTCTTGCTGCTACAGCGTCCCAAATCAGACCTGTTCAAAAGACGCGTATACTTGTCCGTGGACCCCAGAGGTGTGACGTAGCCAATGAAACGGTCTATGGTTAAGATAAACATTGTCACTATTTTTAGTTAATTGATAAATTATTTAAACAAATTGTAGATTGGAGTCCTAGCTACAAATTCTATCATAGGACATTTGTACATTTAATTTTTAATTTATTTATTTATAATTTTGTTCCTCTGTCTGGGCCCCATCCAGCCAATCAGGCCCTAGGCACGTGCCTACTTTGCCTTTGCGTTAATCCGGCTCTGGTCATCTGTCCAACTTAAATTTAATGATGATGATAATAAATTCCAGAAATAAAGCTTCTTAAAGTTTAATTTATTTGTTCAAACAAGCAGAAAGTTAAACTGAAACTGATTATAAACAAAGTGCTGCTGCAGTTAGCAGAACAAGATCACACCCAGAACGAAGAATGATTTATGATTTTTGTCCATGTCGTGCCACTTTTGTGCCAAAGTATCAAATATGCTCAAGTCATCATCAAGTCAACAGATGCAAGTCGATTCAAGTTGCAAGTCATTGGCGTTCAAGTCCGAGTCAAGTTGTAAGTCTTTGTAGATTTTATCAAGTCAAGTCAGAAGTCATCAAAATAATGACTCAAGTCCAAGTCATGTGACTCGAGTCCACACCTCTGGTAACAGCTAGCATTTTGTATAAAAAAAGTCAAGAAACTTACTAAATAACGATCATATTTTTTGATGACCACAATAATGGTCTGCAAATTAGAATAATAAATAACGCTGATAAATTACAGGAGCGGATTTAGATTTTGGACAAAGCACAGCTGTAAACCGTTGCTACAAGGCACAAGGACACGACGCAGCAGCCCAAAAAACTCGCTTTTACTTCCAGTGTAGTGAAATACAGTAAACCTGGAAGAGACAATGTCTGCCAGACGTCATGCTGCCTTTCAGCACTGCAAGTTGCCATCATTCACTTAGCTCCACCATCTATGCTAAGATAAAACTATCGGAATACTGCCAGATTTGGAGAATGACTGGATGGTTACACAATGCTTTTCCCCATCTATCTACTACTCTGAGGAATGTGGCAACTAAATATTTGTTTGTGGTGGAATACCCCTTTAAATCTTAACAATTAATACAAATAAACTAAATCAATGCAATCGTGTATCGATGTGCTTCCATGCATCAGTCAGGCACAAGCCAGATGTTGGTGTCTGAATTCAAGAAGAATGATTTCATCACTACTTTAAGTCCAAGCAACTCTTAAAACGTTTGTTTACATTCTGCTTTTAAACAGCTGGGTTTATCTAGTTTAGAAATTCTCTAGCAAAAAATTAATAAATAATAAATAAATAAATAAAAAAAAGATGATTTGAGACTTTTAGGGAATCTTCCGATTTCTTTTTAGAAAGCTGGGCTGCATGGTGGAGCAATTGTTAGCATTGTTGCCTCGCAGCGAGAAGGTTGCAGGTTCGAAACCTGGCTGCGGTCTTTCTGCGTGGAGTTGCATGTTCTCCTCATACATGTGTGGGTTTCATCTGGGTACTCCGGTTTTCCCCACAGATCACAATATGCCCTATAGGTTAACAGTTGTACGTAGCTTTGGATAAAAGCGTCTGCCAAATAAATAAACCTAAACATAGAAAGCACTTGGACTGTTCACATGAAAGTCCTCTGAACAAAACTAAACCAGTGTGAGTTTCTGAACCAGGCGTTCTTTTAACACCCCGAAGACCCTCGGCCTCATCTGTATTCCAGACAAGAAGCTAATTTGTTTACCTGACTGGAGGAAAGCTTTGCAGGAGCTTCAGTCTGGATTAAATGTTCTCTAGAGGGTGTGTGTGTGTGTGCATGCGCGAGTGTGTGTGCGCGTGTGTGTGTGTCTGAGTCCGTGAGAAACACATTCATCCACCTCTCCTTTTCACTGGTTCACAGTTCTCCATCACTCTTTACTTCCTGTTGATCCTGATTTTATTACCTCTTTGTCTCTTTTTTTCCAAGACTAAAGTGAAGAATACAACATTGTGAATGTTTTATTTTAAACACAAATACTGAAAAGAATAGGGATCTGATCTGAAACAGCGTTAGCTCTAAGCACTGATTTTGTTTTCTATTTCTGCAGATTTTGTTCAGTGATTCAAAGAAGCTAAATTAGGACTTGGGGGCTCAAACATTTCACGCCGTTACCTGCTAACCGATAAATACGTTTTTCATGAAGCAGAAAGAGTTGTTTTAACCAGGAGGAAGGAAGGATTCCGATTCCGTGCATCCACTGTTTACTTTTCCTTTGTGAGAGTGTTAGCTCTCAGCTGAGACTCTACCGCAGCAGGACATTTCCCTATAATGACACCAGTGCTGTTATTTATAAGTGTAATTACCTGCCTTTAATAAAACGTTGATCATTTGTTGCAGATACACTAAAGGGGAGCTGGACATTGCCTACATCACATCAAGGATCATAGGTAAACCTATCCTAACAACATGTGTGCATGCATTTGTACCTTCAGACATTCAAGTTTGGTTTCCATGTGCACCATTTAAACGTGCAAATAAGGAGTTGTCTGCACCTTTAGTCGGCCTCCACTTTCACTGCTGAGTTGCTCGCTATAATGATGAGCCGCTGGACATCTCGTAGAGGACAAAGTCAGCAAAATGTGTCTGATCTGAGCCAATTTAGATTAATAATCCATATCTGCTTTTCAGATTTTTAAATTGCATTTTATTACACCTGTAGTCTAAAGCAGTGGTTCCCACAGCTGGGGTTGTGACCTGAAACGACACAGGGGCTCTTCAGACGATTTCCGGAAAACAAAATAAAATTGAAAAACAATTGCTGAAGCTATATTTCTAGCATAATTGATACAAAGACTCAACTGAATTGTCAAAATTGTTTATAAGTGAGAATGAGCTGAAGCAGTTTTCTTAATGATGTAGCTTTTTAAGCTTAATGTTAAATCAGTATCTGGGGTCACATGACTTGTGCTAGTTTGTGGGTCTGTAGCTGAAACGTTTGGAAACGACTGCTTTAGTTGTGATAACAACATTTTGGTTGTGTAAATAAGTCATTTATGAAGACAAACAGAAGCTAGAAGTCTTTTGTATTTTCCAGTGATGACCTACCCGGCGGAGTCGGTCCAGTATGGCTACCAGAACCACGTTGAGGACATCCGCTCCTTCCTCGACAGTCGCCACGCCGACCACTACACGGTCTTCAACCTATCACAGCGCAACTACCGAGGGGCCAAATTCTCCAACAGGGTGGGTGTGATTTCATGTGTGATGTTTCAAATGAGTGACTTTAACTTGACATTGACCAGTAGGTGAAAAGGATCAACTCTTTGATTCACTGTCCTCATGATAAAACGATACTTCCAGCCTCCCTGTTGTTACTGGGCCGTGCTGTCAGAGCGTTTTAATCTGTGCCTAACATTTGTTTTATTTGTGCAAAAATTATGTTTGTGTTTTCGATAACTAATGTGACTTTTGTGTGTTTTATCTCCTTTGACCTTTGACCTGGCAGATCAACCGTTCACTTGAACATGTTTTAGATTTTTGCAACAGTGACTAAACTAAAAAATAAAAAATATTCAAAAAAATACGTAATCTTTGAAATAAAGGTTAAATATTCCACTTTTACCTCATTACTAATTGTATTATTTTTAGATTAATAAACAATTGACAATATATTCCTTGTTGTTGAGTAGAAAAAAAAGGGTTAGAGTTAAGGTTAAGGAGTAATTTTCTTGACCAAAATAATTATTTATTTCCTAAATTGTAGTTTTTGTTGCTTTAGTAAACAAATTCAAACAATTGAAAGGCTAAAAATAAAAAAATAAAAAGAATATATGGCTTTTGTTTCAGTTTAGGATCTGAGAAAAACATTTATTCTAAAAAAATCCAGATAATCTTCATTCTAAAGGTCCGTCTGACTATCCCACAAGATATTGGATATTTAAAAAAGAACAAACTGTGATTTGTGTCTAGGATACATGATCGTAGCATGTAAACTAATTGGTCTCAAAACAAACACACAGCAGGCTCTGTGTGTTCAGTCCTGGTATGTTTTTATGGCCCTCTTTGCCTTTTGCATGAGGTATTTATGGCATGCAGCCCTGCTGCACAGCTGGATTTGGATTCATGTGGGAGCTTCACTGCCGCCCATCAGCAGATGCATGCAGAAAGGCTGCAGAGCTCCTCTCATCAAGATGTCTGCTTGTGGAAGTTGTTGAATTTCTGTCAGATGACTACTGGCTTGTTGTGTTGCTGCAAGTCTGTTACTAACGTTACTTCCACCTCTCTTTTCACCTCCTTCCATGTTTCGCCAATTTTTTCCTCTTCTTGTTCTTTTTACCATTTCTTTTCCTTTTTCTCTCATCTGGACCCACTTTCCTCTCCTTTGTTGATCTTTCTCCCCGTTTTCACGCTCTTTTCTTCTTTTGCTCCCTGCATTAAACTCTTTTCCAGGTCTCAGAGTGTAACTGGCCTTCACGCCAAGCTCCCAGCCTCCACAACCTGTTTGCAGTTTGTAAGAACATGTACAACTGGCTGAAGCAGAATCCCAAGAACGTGTGTGTCATCACCTGCTCGGTGAGAAGACGAAGCCCAGATCTGTAACCAATAATTCGATAACTGCTTTATGATCACAGATAATTCGAGGAATTTCAACTTTTAAGCCCTTTTTTGCAGTTAAATGGGTCACATAGAGACATGAAAATGCACAAAGTTATCAACGATTTAGATTCTCCTCCATCCACAGTTCAGTAGAGCCAATCTTTCCACTGACTTCATTGCGAGTCTATAAGGACTCAGAGAAACATAACCGGTGTTAATGTTTTTAAGTAAAAGGATAAAGCCTCACTCCCTGTACCGAGCAATGGATCCGGTGGTTCTGACTCAGCGGTAACGCCGACATGTGATGGAGGATGTTGTTGCCAAGTTGCTGAGGTTTGGCAAACGCCTCCGCTCTGCCTGATCTCTACCAAATGGTTCCATAATTTTCAAATAAAAAACAGCTTTCTGATGCACAGAGTGAACAGAAATTCATTTTCTCTCAAACGTTTAAACTGTAAATGATAAATACTTTTTCAAAACAAAAAGTTAATGGTTTACTTATAAGACGTGTCAGAATCTGCTTGGTGTGCTTCCAGGACGGTCGCACTCCCTCCGGCATTCTGGTCTGTGCCATGTTCTGCTTCTGCCACCTTTTCAACCATCCGGTTCCTGCCATGCAGCTGCTGAGCGCCAAGCGACCAGGTTCGGGTCTCTGGCCTTCACACCGCAGGTTTGCACCCTTCACAAGAGAAGTGCACAGTAGTCACTTTATTCCATAAGATTGCACAGTTTGTCAGTAGCATAGCATATTCTGTTGATGTGTGAGCCAATGCAAATGTATGCATGCATAAAACAATGACATGTGACTTACACAACCCTTTTGTCCATGCAGGTATTTAAGTTATGTATGTAGCATGGTGTCAGAGAAGCCCACCCTCCCCCACTCCAAACCTCTGGTGATCAAGGCGCTCACGATGAGTCCAGTTCCTTGTTTCAACAAGCAGAGGAGCGGCTGTCGGCCGTTCTGTGACGTCCTCATTGGAGAGACTAAAATCTTCTCCACTGCGCAAGAGTACGAGAGGATGAGGTACACACTGGTGATGAGATTAGCTGTGTCATTTTAAAATGAAACACACAACATGTCTTATTGGTACCACTTTACAATTGGCTCCCATTATAAATGGCTAATAGCGAGTTTATAGATGTGTTATAAATTAACTCATTCGCTGCCAGCCGTTTCTTGGTCGGTAAAGCCCTTCGCTGCCAGCGTTTCTCACCATTTTTACTGTTTTTTAAGAGTCACAGAACGTTGCGCTCTAGGATGATGTCGATTCCAAAACAACCAAAACAAAGTGGAGACTCACATCAGGAAGAATCTGCACATTTCGAGCTTTATCCATTCTTTCATAATCCGTTGTCGAATTGTGATCGGCAGAAGTTTTTAAGGTTCGCGCCTCGCTTTTTTTTTAGCATCAGCCCAAAACGATCTGCTAACACATGGATTTTCTGCTTCCTGATCAGGTGACGTGTGACGTATGCGGATGAAGATCGGCTTCAGAGCTGAGATGTTTGTTCTCACAGTGGGGGGATCGTTCCGACGCCCACACAGTAAAAAATGCCAATGATGACTTTACTCGTCATTGGCAGTGAACGGTTGGATTTAAAATGACGACTTTAGTTGTCAGTGGCAGTGAATGAGTTAATCTGTAACACTATACATCTTTGATAAGAGTTTATTATGTTAATTAAGTGTGACAAAAAGACAAAACTGGCTTGTTTCTTGCCAAATAGTGAGCCAAATCTGTTCACCTATATCTCTAGAGTTGCCATATTAAACATGTCAGACTACGTTACTACCTCTAAGCATGCTGAGCATTTGTAAAGATAATTTTTAAGATCCTTTTAACATGACCACTGTTCAGATATGTAGTGTTAAGAAAGAACAGTGTAATGCTTGATGACCTTTTTTTTACCTTTGACCTTTTTTAAAAATAAAAGTCCACAACTTTCAAAGAGTCCTATTGTAAAATGTAACACATGACACTGTTTATTATGCCTAATAACCATTTCTACATGTTAAAATGAACCTTATTGTGAAGTGGTGAAGAACAAAATTATGCACAAAAAATCTGTTTAAATTGCTCCCTGTGCTCACCGGGTAGTACCTTAGTCTGAAATGTGTAACGTAGAAACTCTCGATAAAACAGATTACCTGATTTGGCTCACTATTACGCAAGAAACCCATTTGTTTTAATTAATGCATAATAAACACTTTTTTATGATTTATAAAAATTCACAGAATAATTAATCACATTAACTATGAATATATTGTAATATGGTACCGTTTTATTTAAGTTTTATGGGCTTTTTTTCTAATCGTGGCCCCATTTTTTTCTATCTCTCCACACCCAGAGAGCACCGAATCCAGGAGGGGAAAGTAGTGTTCCCCCTCGGCGTGAGTGTTCACGGGGACTTTGTGGTTTCTGTTTACCACATGAGGTCGACGATTGGAGGGCGTCTGCAGGCTAAAGTATGCACACAAAACCAGCAAAACCCAATTCAAGCACGCTGAAAATCTTGTTAGGATGTTGGTGACACAGACCAGCCGCATTTTCAACTTTATCATGTTTGCATCAAGGGGCAAACTCCGCCTACCGAAGTGAAGTCTTCATGGAAGTGACAAAAATTGCAGTTCCCCCCTCATCCTCTAGGGCTCCAGAAATGAGCACGTTCCCATTGGCTCCCATGTTAAAAATGCTAACTTCACAGCAGAAACACACGTGTTTACAGCCTGGTTCAGAAAATATTTTGGGTTTAATAGTCATGAGAACTTTGAGGGGGGTAAATTTGTTTGACACTCATCCCTTCAGATGTGATTAAATCTTGAGATAATGGATACTTAGGGAAGTGTGTTTGACTGACAGGTAGCAAATGAGCCATCAGCACTAGCGGCCTGCCCTCCTCCTTGTTCCAGGGAGGGCCTCGGCCCCTGCTTCATGATAAAAGCATTAGAGCATAAAAGGCAGCGGGTAGCAGAATCGCTCAACCACAGTTTTCTGCCTAAAACCGTCTGTCAATCTCTGTTAGTTTAATTTAGCTCAGTTAGCTCATAGCTACGTCAGCAGTGTAATGGGCTCGACACACGGGAGGCGATAAACGACCGCGATCAGCGAAATTTGTCGCTGTCGCTTTTATTACCTGTCACACGGGAGGCGATCCACGGCAGCGGCCAGCGGCAAAGCCGTCTACGCGTTCTGTTCCATGGCGAAATCGAAACTTCCGTTGTTTTGTTTGGCTGTGTCACGTTGGAGGGAATTAAGGTTATTTAAGCGGTTCAGAGTTAATAAAGTGGTAGATATGATGTTTCACAAGGTGCTGCTAGAGTTATGTGAAATCTTACTTCTGATTTTACTATATAAAACATAATAATAATCAACTTCTCCTTCATGTTTGCTCGGAGATGTGCGGAGCATAATGTCCGCTCATTGGTCAGTGAATGAAACCTCCGTTGATTGGTCCTCGTCCGAGCGACAGCGATGAAAAGTTGAAAATGTTTCAACTTTTTGGGATTGCGTCGCTGGGTCGTCCGTGCACGTGCCGTGCACGAGTGCAAAATTTCACACGCACGTTTTTCGCGTTTCGCTTAGTAGGAGAGAGACCCGTGATTATCGCTTTGTCGCGCATGTCTCATTGAAAATGAATGGAGGAGAGGCGTCGCCTCCCGTGTGTCGAGCCCATAAATCATCTGCCCCCACCCTCCAACCCCACTCTCAGCTCCACTTTTGCATTTTCCGGGTGTGACGAGATGTGTGACACAGCAAAGATGGTTGTTATGGAGAACTGCTCTCTGGACTTCAGTTAATCTCTTCAGAAACCTACGGGTGCAGAGGGTCCGTCCAACACATGCACAGTCAATGATTTGCATAAACATGCTAGCACTAGCTCGAGGTGGTGCTGACGTCCTAAACCAGTTTTATGAAGTTGAGTTTAGCCATTTATTAGGGCTCCTTGGTCAGTTTGAGCCCCCTCATGAAGGTCCTGGAGAGATTCCTGTTGGTCCACCTGAATAAGCAAACTAGAACAAATCAGGAGCCGCTGCAGTTTGCTTATCGCCATGGAGTTGGAGTTGAAGATGCCATCATCCAGCTGCTTCAACCAACCCACTGTCATCTGGACGAAGCAGGCAGCACTGTGAGAGGCATGTTCTTTGATTTCTCCAGTGCATTTAACACAATCCAGCCCAATGTACTTTGCCAGAAGCTCCAGAAGACACAGGTGGGGGCCTAAACTATCACCTGGATTAAAGACTACCTGACAAACAGACCACAGTTTGTGAGGCTGAAGAACTGCACGTCAAACTAGGTGATCAGTAACATTGGAGCACCACAGGGGACTGTACTCTCACCATTCCTTTTCACCCTGTACATCTCAGACTTCCAGTACAAATCAGAGACCTGTCATCTACAGAAATATTCAGATGACTCTGCAGTTGTTGGGTGTATCAGAGATGGACAGGAAGCTGAGTACAGAGAGCTGGTGGAGCGCTTTGTTGCATGGTGTGGAAACAATCATCTGACCTTGAACGTGAACAAAACAAAGGAGATGATTTTAGACTTCAGGAGAAACAGGGTGGAGTCCAACACTGTTTCCATCATGGGCGAAGAAGTGGAGGTGGTTGAGGAATACAAATACCTTGGAGTTCACCTGGACAACAGACTGGACTGGAGAAAGAACAGCGAAGCCGTTTACAAGAAGGGACACAGCAGACTGCACTTCTTGAGGATGCTTAGGTCCTTCAATGTCTGTAGCAAGATGCTGCAGATCTTCTACAAGTCTGTTGTTGAGAGTGTAATCTCTTCAGCCATCGTCTGTTGGGGTAGTAGCATCAGAAGCAGGGACCTGAAAAGGCTCAACAGCCTAATAAAAAAGGCTGGTTCTGTTCTGGGGACGACTGTGGAACCGCTGGAGGAGATGATGCAAACAAGCATTCTCCAGAGAATCAAGGAAATTATGGACAACCCTGAGCATTCTCTTCACAAGACTGTCCGACAACGGAAGAGTGTCTTCAGTCAGAGGCTGCTTCAGTTTGGCTGCAACACTGACCGCTACTGGAGATCCTTCCTGCCAACAGCCATTGTAATATACAACAACTCTTTGATGACTTGATTATTATTATTATTATTCTGAGCTACTACAGCAATCAATTTCCCTCTGGGATTAATAAAGTATTTTTGAATTTGAATTTGAATTGAATTTGAACAAAGTTGTATATGACATACAGCACAAAGAACAGTTTCCAATTTTAAAACAAAACTCTTTCTAGTACACTAGAAATGGCCAATATGGCCTAAAGTATTTTGTGTTTGGTAACGGTATATGTTGCGATATATTCTTTACTTCTGTTTATACATGTCAAAATGATGAATGAATTGCTGCAGAACAAAAACTTTTACAAAGTATAGAATGCCATTTAAATTACATTTGATGTTCAAAACTTATTTTAAAAAAACATCTCAAATAATTTTTATGTTTTATGTTTATGCATTGTTTGGAAAAAGAATCCAAACAATGCAACATAAAACTTCTCATAAAAAGAATAAAGATGAAGATATTTTAATTACAATACAAGCTAAATGTGTTCATGTGCAGTCATGATTGGACGGTAGAGGCACAATCTCTACCGATACCGGCTAAATTTACATACCGTGCATTACTATAGTGCACCTTTAGGTTTTCTCAGAAGCACAATGTTGTTGTTTTAGAATTCGGAGTATTTATTTTTTAGATTGCAGCCACTAAAATGTTGCATAAACAGTTTCTGACTTCAAAAGCTTCTCAGACCTGTCACGGTTTTAGTTTTATTCTTTAACTTTGACTTTGACCAAACCTTATTCTTTGAATTTTATCCTAACAATGGTATGGGTTATTAGTCTATTACTCATATTTCTGCTTTATACATGTAATGTAAGTCGTGTCATTTTAGAGATTGAAACTATTTCTGTCTTCTCGTTAGGTGTCCAACACCCAGATCTTCCAGATCCAGTTCCACACTGGCTTCATCACTCCTGGAACAACTATGCTAAAGTTCAACAAGTAAGAACAACTTTAGATATAAAATATACCCAGTAAATATAATTGGATGGAAAAAATATCTTTTAAATTTTCTTTTTATTCTTAAATAATATTAAGCAGCTGAAAGCCATTTGGGGGCATGCGTTGTAAATCAGCTACATAAATAAGCAATAAATGCATGAGATGAAATTAAGTAAAACTATCTCTGTAACCGTGTTTTAGTGTTTTACTGTGTTGCTTTTTCTTCCCAGACCAGAGCTGGATGCTTGTGACGCCCCAGAGAAATATCCACAGCTGTTCCACGTGATACTGGATATTGAGGTGGAGGGGGTGGACAAGCAGAAAGACCTGACGCCACCATGGGAGCAGTTCCCTTGTAAAGACCTGAGTCCCAATGTTCTGTTTTCCTGCCACCAGGAGCACCAGGATGCTCTGGCTATCGCAGGTACCTTTCTTGGCATCAAAATGTGTCTTTAAAATTCACACACATCATATTTGAAATCCACGTCACGTATCAAACGGGATCAGAAAAGAACTTTTTTCGGCTCATAGACCCCCATTCATTTTTTTGGGGTGGTTGGAAACCCATGGACCGGAAGTGGATGGGTGTGAGGCTCCTTATTCCTTGGATGTGGAATAATTAGATGGGGGTTTAGCATAGAGTAATTGAGCTTGTTAAAACTAGTTAGCAAGCGTAAACACAGATCACATATGTGATGTCAGAGCATTTTTGTCGCGGGGAGTGACGCGGTAAATACTAAAGCCTCAGTGCTTAACGTCCACGAGCAAATGATGATGAAGATTTCCCAAATCTCTACTTTGGTCAGAGATTTTTGAAAGAAGCGTTTTTGGTGTCGTATATCTACACTTTTGTGTAGACGACGGACCAAACTGTAGAAAATATCTTTGATGTGTGGCATACCCAGCTACGTGTGCACATGGCCTCAGTTTTTTAAATTGCGTTTGTTATTTTTCCACTTCCATGTGAAGTCAACATGTGTCAAACTAACCTTTAAACTGCTGTTTGTTAACAATTCCTTTGCCAGCAAAGGCTTCATTTAAGTAATAATAAAAGTAAATTAACACCGTATCTTACACCCAAATGAAACCTTGATCCAAACGACTGATAGTTCTTACATCAGACTGTAAAAGACAAGACAAGTAACTCTGTGTCCCACAGAAAGATGTCATCATAAAACATCTACACGCAGACATCATGATATTGTTTTGTGTGTGGTTTGTGCGTAAACAAACAGTAATTGTGTGCAAAAACACACAAATGCATTAGTATAAAAACACACAAATCTGACCAATGCTTTGTTCTTGCAAGACGAGATGGAGGGCTTGGACCTGGAGGGTAAGAGAGACGGGTACCTGTTAGTAGAAATTTACAGCAGCTGCATTAAACCAGGGCTTGGTTCAATTCAATCCTAAAAGTAGATTAAAATATTGACAGAAACATTTTCTGGTATTGGAAACTCCATTTGGCTCTTTACCTCTATGTTGAGTATTGATTGAATTGGAATGAAACCCACGTTGTTAAGTAGTAATGCATCGCTTTGATAGAACGTTTGGACATGAAAAGCAGCCTTCTGGGTAATAAATCCCGAGTCCTAGTAAGACCCTAGAGACTCATCTTCTGGTGAGTGACGACAGCAGACAGTATTTTTCCTCTGTGTATAAAGTTATGAAGCTATAAAAATGGTCCCTCTTTAAATCAAGGTGAAGTATTGCTTTTTATTGATTTGGAAGTTTATCAAAGATCCACTCCTCTTTAGGTTTATAGATTGCATAATGCGGAGAACTGTTGTTGCTTGTAGAAACAATGACCGTCGTTAGCTTTACTGCTCACATTGTCCTCCCCGTGTCCTGCTAACATTGTGAGTTTCATTGCTTTGAAGAGCCAAGCCGGCAACACGGAGATGGTCGAGGCCACGTAGAGGAGAGCGAACCCTCAGATGATGAAATGCTCTCACTGTCCAGTCAGCGAAGCAGCATTAGTACAGCCTCACAGAAACCAGAACCTCCAACGCCGGTGGCACCTGAACGCGCTGAGGAAGTGGATCTTCTTGGTCTAGATGGAGAGGGCGTCAGCCGTCCGTTCCCCTCATCCCAGCATCCAACCGCAACCACTGACCTCCTAGGGGACTTGTTCGGTGCCCCTCCCCAGCCAGCCAGTGGACCCTCGTCCACCCAGTCCACCCCACACAAAGTAGCACCCAAAACTGCCTCTCCATCCCCCTCCCCCGCTCCTCCAGGTGAGATAAATAAAATGTATTGGAATAAAAAGAGTTTTGAAATGAAAACCTTTTGCTCTCTGTCTGCTTTGTTCTCCTTAGCATTCGATCCCTTTGGAGCGGCCCCCGTGCCTAAGCCTCAGGAGATGATGGGTTCGTTCCTTGGACCAGGTAATACGGGGCAGTCAGACCCATTTCTGCATGCTGCTCGTTCTCCATCACCCACTAGCATGGGTAAGACATGCTTCTGCTGCTAATTCCCTCAAAGCATCACAAATTTAGTCATGTTTTCTAGTGTTCAGAAGGGGTGAAACGGTAAACCTGTAATGCCGGGTCAGAATGCACCTTGGTTTTAATTCCACGGTTCAGTTCGTTTTTGGTACAGTGAGAGAGCAAAGTGGAAAAAGAAAGTTTTCTTTAAAGCAAAACTTTACTGGCAGTAAATTATCCAAAAATATTTTCACATATTACATAAAACACATACACACAATACAATAAAATAAATGGAAAGGGGCCCGCTGTCTGGTACAGACACCAGCCTACGTCAGTCACGTCGGGCAGGTCTTTGGAAGGATGGAGTCCCGGGATTTGGACATGGCTGCTTGTGTGCAGCACAGTTACACGTCTGTGAGGATTTCAGCTCCAATACCAATTCATGTACCATTACACCCCTAGTATTCTCATTTTTCATCTACATTCTTGTTACTCACATTATAATGTTTGTTTAAAATATCATACATCTTATTGTCCTGTTCAGCCTTCGTTCCAATGTGAAAAAGTGTTGTTTGTTTACGACTTTTGCATAATTTACTCTTGCTAAGTTTGCAGCTGATTCACTTCCTTATGTTTCAATTCCAACACAACTCATGTTGCATTAATGAGCCTGGTCTGAGCTTCTTCTTTCCTTCTGGTTACCTGAGTTTATTTTAGTTCATGCTCTCTATGTGACCGACCTTTATTCGGTTGATCAGATCGGAGTTCCCCGGTGCCGCCCTCACCGCCAACTGTCAACATTCAGCAGCAGAACGCCATGGGAGGATGGGACTGGAACAAACCTGCAACCACAAGTTCAGGTATCTCACAAAGACGTGTGAATAATGAGCACATGCAACAAAGAATGTGATCTGATACCTTCGCCTACACCATTGTCTGTTAAATGATTTAGGAGGAGGCTTTGGTATGGGAAGTCGCTCAGCCACTACCAGTCCTACTGGTTCTGTCCACAGCACCCCCACCCACCAAACTAAGCCAAACACCCTGGATCCATTTGCAGACATCGGCAACCTGTCTGGCAGCCTTGGAGGTCTGATACGGATCATATTCCTGGTGTTTTTTCACATCAATTGCCTTTAAATAATTAATAATCGTTTTATAACTAGGAGGACCTGGATTCTCAAGCAAGCCCACCACTCCAACAGGATCAACCCCTTCCTTCCCTCCTATGGGCTCCCCGTCGAGGCCGCCGCCGTCTCCCCAGCACACAGGAGGGTGGCAGCCCCACTCTGGAGCCAGCTTCCCCTCATGGCAGCCGGGAACAGGAGGCGGTGGAGGGAGGCAAGCTCAGGGACAGGGTCCTGGAGCCCAACCAAAGCCCAGCCCCAGCCACACCTCCATGCCGCACACATCGCCTCAAAACCGTCCCAACTACAACGTCAACTTCTCAGCAATGGGAGGAGGCTCTCCCAGTGCGGGGGGGAAATCACAGGCTGGAATGGGTGAGCAGATGATCAAAGCTGATGTGGCTGCTGCCCTGTAATCATTGTGGTCCAGAGATTGGGCTAAATCATGCCAGCTCAAACTGCTGATCTTTATAACTATTTAAGAGCAAAAAATTTAATGATATTTTTTTGAATATTGTAAAACTAATGATGTGAAATAAGTATTATGGTTATAATGAAAAATCAAAGTATTCTCTTTGTGGGGTAAGCCATGTGTATATATTTGGATCCTGAGTCGGGATGTGGGGCTGAAGCCCCCCCACTCTTCAACACATAGCTGTGGTACATCTGCTAAGAAAATACATATTTTAACATAAAGCAGCAGAACAAAATCTACATGAACCAACAAAAGTCAAAATTAGGGGGGGTTTAAAATACTAATGGAACCGGTCAGTAAGAGTTTAGTTCCCGTTTAATTCTAACATGTAGGGGCTTCCTACTGCATTACTTGGTTCTTTTTTCAGCACAGCAAAAGAGTTGTTTTTACCTTGTTTTTGCTGACGTTTTCACCAACACTGTAACACTCCTCAGAGTAAACGCCAGAAAAACAAGGTAAAAACAACTCTTTTGTTGTGTTAATAAAAGAACCAAGTAATGCAGTTGGAAGAAACACAGAATGAACGTACAAAAGATGTTTATTTAGGGTCTTTTTAGTGACTCGTGCAGGTTCAGAACAGGGAGGGCGATTTTCCAGAAATTTCCGTTGGTTGCAACCTACAAGTTCACCACTAGATGTCGCTAAAATACAGGCAGCTCTTTGAACTCTGAGCTGATTCTTTTTTTCACCTGTAATTGTCACCAAATGAAGCTCTAGGACACATTTACATAGTTGTTTCTATAAAGAAACTTTTTTCAAAATTACAGTTCACTGGTAATTCAAATCTACTGGAATATATTTTTAACTCTTTTTCATTTTTCTTTATTCTGCTTTGATTTTGAGAAAGAGAAAACAGTTTTAATCATTTAAAAGTCTGTTTTCTGCCCTTGTGCTTGTTCCAGGTTCAAAGCCCAGAGCCTCGGATGTTAACTTCGATGACCTGCTGTCAGGTCAGGGCTTTTCAGGGACCAAAGAGAAGAAAGGGCCCAGGACTATAGCAGAGATGAGGAAAGAGGAGATGGCCAAAGAGATGGACCCTGAGAAAATAAAGGCAAGATTTTGTTTTATTACTGACATAAGTCATGTCCTGGATCTATCATCCCTCTTAGTTTTAGTTTGCTCAAAACCATTTGGCTGTCAAGAACTCCGTGTTTATCCCTGAATTAATGAAGCAGCCAGTGTAGGCCTTCCATGAGCTTGGTTCACCCAATTACTCCCGTGGCTTTCTACCACAGCCAACATTTCCGAAAGAATTTGTCCTAAGAGTTGTTTCAAATCGGCTCTTCTCCGGATGTTGGCGTCTCATCGCTGTCTCCCCCCTTTGTGTCCCAGATTTTGGACTGGATTGAAGGGAAAGAGCGTAACATTCGTGCCCTGCTGTCCACCATGCACACTGTGCTTTGGGAGGGAGAGACTCGATGGAAGCCGGTGGGAATGGCTGACCTGGTTACCCCAGAACAGGTCAAGAAGGTCTACCGCAAAGCAGTCCTGGTTGTTCACCCAGATAAGGTGAGGTCATCCATGTAAACCAGGGGAGATTTCATGTTTGTAACAAGAGAATGTGGAGTTTTTATTAGGGATGCACCGATACCAGTATCGGTATCGGTAAAAGTTAACCGATACCAGGAACCGATACCAACGCAGTTGTTTGAAAATGGCTTCACTGTAACTTGTCATTTCCGTTCACCTAATAGTTTAGTTTTGTGATGATTTCTATTCATATATTTTACTTTTTATCTACCTCACAGTCCTTTCCTGTTGAAAGCAGAGAAGAAAATAAAATCTGTTTTCCAAATCATTGCATTTTTTTGTGTGGTGGAAGTATCGGTAATTGGTATCGGCGGCGAATATTCAGATCCAAGTATCGGTATGGTATCGGTTTGGGAAAAAGTGGTATCGGTGCATGCCTAGTTTTTATGATTCTGTGTCTAAACAGACCAAAGGCAAAGTCCTATCAACAAAAGTTCTGGGTCTAAAAGTTAAAGGAAAATCCATTTGTCATTCATTTTTTCTGGCCAATTATGCAAATGAACTCATACACTCACTGGCCACTTTATTGGGTACACCTGTCCAACTGCTCATTACTGCAAATCACTAATCAGCCAATCAGATGGGGGCAACTCAATGCATTTAGGCATGTTGACATGGTCAAGACGATCCGCTGCAGTTAAAACCGAGCTTCAGAACGGGGAAGAAAGGTGATTTTAGTGACTTTGAATGTGGCATGGGTGTTGGTGCCAGACGAGCTGGTCTGAGTATTTCAGAAACTGTTGATCTTCTGGGATTGCCACACACAACCATCTTTACAGATGAATGGTCTGACAAAAGGAAAACATCCAGTGAGCGGCAGTTCTGTGGGCGAAAATGCCTTGTTGATGCCAGAGGTCAGAGAAGAATGGCCAGACTGGTTTGAGCTGATAGAAAGGCAACAGTAACTCAAACAACCACTCGTTATAACCAAGTTATGCAGAAGAGCATCTCTGAACGCACAACACGTTGAACCTTGAGGCAGATGGGCTACAGCAGCAGAAGACCACACCGGGTGCCACTCCTCATGGGCGTCGCACCCGTGGGGGATGTGGGGGTTTCAACACCCACACTTTTCTTATTGAGATCGTTCAACACCTCAACACCCACACTTTTCCAGACGTTTTGCAAAAGGGATAACTGAATGCTCCTTCTACGGAATAGTTTTTGTTGTCCAACTTTAAAGCCAGCTTTGTTAACATTCAGTGACAAATAAAGTTTGTCGAAACTGTCCCGCCTCTACCAGAGTACACCTGTGAGCTGGTGGACTGGGCTGGAACTACAGTTTATTCAGGAGTTTCTCTGGAACCCGCCGTTGGATTATTGAAGCCGTTCAGGTTAGTTAGGAAACCTCTGAGCCAATAGAATCTCTTGCTTTTGATTTTTTTTTCGGCTAGTTTTTTGGGATTTGGCGTCGGATGGATGCAAGCTAAAACAGCCATGAATTAGCTTTGTGTGATGTTGTGAAGATGGATTACACAAAGGGATTGGATTGTTTTTACTATAACACGGATTATGACCATGAATCAACAAAGGTGAGACTGAATTTACGCTTTTCACGTCATAAAATGAGCTGTGGTTTGTTATACAACAGTTAGTTCTGACCGAGTGATTTGATTGGTCAAGAGACTTTTCAAGAGTGCTGATATTGGACTATAACAGCACTGGGACTGTTTACAAACAGTACACTCTGCTGTGCACAGGCGTTCTAACCATTATTGTAGAAAATGTTTGTGTTGCCTAGCATCAGCCTTGTCTGAGTCTCCGTTTTGTTTTGGGACTATTTGTTTCGGCGGAGCCTGATCAATGAATAAATAAATGAACAAATTATAATCTGTTGTTGCTTATTGTTGTTATAAACAATAAAATGAGCAGGTAGAACTGTTGTGTAAAAGCAATATCACACTCAAGGTCATGCGTTGTTGCTGAATATCAGCACTGGTGTGATTATCTACAACACTCGGCCTGTGGCCTCGTGCCTACGACCGAATCACACCAGTGCTGATATTCAGCAACAACGCATGACCTTGAGTGTGATATTGCTTAATTAGCTGCTGGCTCTGTGGATTTTGCACGTAGAGTACGTAAATATTGTTGAAAAGAGAAGAGCCTGGGCTTTAATTTAAACGGCGGATTCTGTGGAAAGGATATTGGATTTTCGCTACTGTGTGTTTTTCTCTAAATGCGTATTTAGTGTCTTTTTACGTACTTTTGATTTAACAGCTTATTGTTGAAATTGGGTGTTGTTGATGGAGAAAACTTGGGTTCTGTTGTTTGGAAGTTTAGTTCTTCCCGTTCTGCATGTGTGCAGTTTATACAGTGGTGAATATTAAGCATGTTTTTGGAAGGACTTCACATTATGCGAGGACCCCTTACTGGATTAAGGTTGAGTTTCAATTTACAGCTGATGGCACAGACAACATCCCCCACACTTTTGAAAAGCTTGCAACGCGCCTGCCACTCCTGTCAGCAAAGAACTGGAAACTGAGGCTACAATTCACACCGACTCACCAAAACGGGATAATAGAAGATTGGAAAAATGTCGCCTGGTCTGACGAGTCTCGATTTCTGTTGCAACATTCGGATGGTAGGGTCAGAATTTGATGTCACCAACATGAAAGCATGGATCCATCCTGCCTTGTGTCAATGGTTCAGACTGGTGGTGGGGGTGTAACGGTGTGGGGGACATTTTCTTGGCACACTTTGGTCCCCTTAGTACTAACTGATCATTGTTGCAGCAGTACAATCAGTGGAGCAAGATTTGCATCATGGATGTGCAGCCAACAAATCTGCAGCAACTGTGTGATGCTGTCATGTCAATATGGACCAAAATCTCTGAGGAATGTTTCCAGTACCGTTTTGAATCTGGGCCATGAAGGATTAAGGCAGCACTGAAGGCAAAAAGGGGTCCAACCCAGGATTAGCAAGGTGTACCCAATAAAGTGGCCAGTAAGTGTATTTACTTAATGAAGTCCAGTTTTTAAATGTTACATTCAAAAAGAGTTAAAGAAATATGTAATTCAGTAAATATAAGAAACCCTGTGACTGGCAGTTGAGTACATTTAATGTTTATATTAGAGTAAAGCAATTAAAATTAAAATGAGATTGTAATTAAATGATTACTAACTTGATATTTACTCACAATTTAACTTTTTTATTGTTATCATAGTGAAACCTCTTTTTATGTATATGTTCATGTATTTAGCAGACACTTTTGTCCAAAGCGACTTACAAGTGATAATCGGCATGTTGCCCTTGAGGCTAACAATAACAGGAAGGGTGCTAGTTTAGAAGATGCTCTCTGAAGAGCAGGGTCTTCAGGAGTTTCCTGAAAGTCGAAAAGAAAGCCGCTGTTCTTGTAGCGCCTTTTGTAGTGTTCTTTTTGCCCCAAATTATTAAGATAATTGTCAAGAAGTTTTGATAGCTTTTTTCATTTATCAAATAGATAATAAAAATGTATATTTTTGCTGCTCATAGAATCTTTGTTTCAGTATTTTATTTTATTGGGTCATGATGAAAAAAGCCCCCAATAAATAAATAAATACATAAATAAATCCACCTCAGTGAAAAGTACTTCAACAAAATACAAAATCTCTAAAAATATTTACAGACACATGTTTTTACTTAAAAAGATTTTATTTCCTTATTTTAAAATAAAGATTTTTAAAAAGAAAAAAAAAATACAAACATGTTTCAGATACCACACATTCTGCTTAATCACGACTCTCCTTAGAGATAGCTGAAATGTAGCGCACCACAACGGTTACAAACAGCTTTTCTCAATGTTTTTCTTTTTAAACCGAATGCTTAAAAACACTTTTCTTATTCCCGCTTTTTTTTTTCATTTAGAGTCAGAGCAGACAGCTGTTTTCTGCCTAGTAACAAGTTCAAGGCTTTGAACTGGTAAATTCAGCACTAAACCACGTTTATTACTAATGTTCACGTCCAGAGAGGCTCAGCTTACTTTTACGGTTTGGCTTGAACAGAACTGGTGTTTACAAATAGCGTCAGAGTAAATTTGCCAAATGAAGGCACGCATAGTAAATAAGAACGAAACAATGCTGCATAGCAACAAGCCAGCAACTTGTTCTTTAGACTTTACACAAGAACTTTTTCATGCATGATGCGAAAAAGGACAAAAACATGATAGAAACAATCAAAACAATCAGCACCTTGATGATGTTGAAGCTGAGGGATCCAAAAGCTGGTTTTAAAAAGTCTAACAAGGAGCTCCCGTCCTGGTGAACAGACTTAGCCGTTTCGTGAAGACGGCCGACTATTTCATGGATGGTAGCGTTGTAATCGGGCACAAATGTGCAGCATTCAGAGCCGATAACTGCACAGGTTCCTCCCTGGGCGGCTAAAAGGAAGTCCAAAGCTGCTCTGTTTTGGAGAGCCAGGAGTCTAACGGAGGCCAGTTCGTTGGACATGAGCGAGAGAGCCCTTCCTGTTGAGTTAGCGATAGCTTCTATCGCATTAGACAGATCGGCTATTTGGTCTAATGCAGACATTACGCCATAGAAAGGAATAAGTGTACCTAGTGCATTCTTAAAAGGTGACTGATTATGCGTCCCAAACACGTCTGAAGTTCCCCGTCGTACTCGGTGAGAAGTTCTCTTCGGCAGTGACTGCAACACTCTCATAGCCGGGACCACGTGTCCCAATCCACAGCGTCCGTTGTAATCCACCGGAAGATAAGGGTAGGCGAAGTTCCCGCACACCCAGTACATCCCAACGGGAGAGGAGATGGAGCAACTGGCCGTGCGGCTAGCTAGAGCTACGAAACGCTTCTCTCCTGCTTTGTCCAGACACGCGTGGGGGACGGATTCCAGAGATTTCTTGTCTGTTTTGGTCCCTTTTGGTTTCCGCGTGAATGTGCGCAGACAGTCTGAATGTCCTACAGGAGTGTGACCGTCATTCTCCAAACACCAAGTGAACTTCTGAGGAAGGACCAGGATGGGAACCGGTTTGGGGGTTTGGACACATCTGTTGCAGTTTCCTTCTTGTTCAGAGCAATGAAGAGGCCTCATTTTTATTATCCGACAGTCGTGGTGGGAATACGACTCGGGCAGCTGAACGTGCATCAGGCTGCACGTGTCGCAGTCAGAGGCAGGCAGGGCCATGAGAGGCAAACCTTCTCCAGCTGTGAAGGGCATCAGGCCGCAGACGTAGCAGCTGGATTTAGGGTGGAGGTGGTCAGCTACCTGCCACGCCATCGTCAGGAAAATGTTGTCGTCATCTCTTCTCGTGTCCAGGACCTTTATGGCCTGCAGATCTCCTGCGATGGACTCCACCAGGATCAGAATCAGAAGATGCAGACACATTTTGGTGGAGGGAGTCGATATCGCGGCTCCTGGTCTTCTCTGTTTGTTTGTCGTGGTCATTCCATTTCAGAAGCTGGAGATACCTTCAAAGTAAAGAGGAATAAATCACCGCTGGCAAGCCCAGCAGAACATGCTTCCTCTCTGGAAGTTCAGTGACTTTGTCTGATTTAAATCTGAGACACAGCGTCTGCCTGAGTGCAAAGATAAGGAAATGCTCAAGCTTATTTATCCACCAGAGAAGAAGCTGAAATGATTATAACCTCAGAGGTGTGGTTACTCAACAACACTGATTAATGGCTGCAAGACGGCAGGAATTCAGTCATTATCAGAGGGTCGCTGCAGCTCAAGTCTGTTGATCATCATATAAAAAGAATCACATCCTTTTAATGAGTCTTTTCCATAATAAGAGCTTCAGAAATAGTTAATTATTTCACTTCTCTAATCACTTTCAGCCATTTTCACTCAGTTTCTTTGTCTCACGCTCATGTGATTGTTTTGAAGTTGTGTGCTAATGAGTTTCCTGTGTAATCAATCAGAGAAAACTAGAAACTGCTTCGGTTCATGTTGTTGGGGCGTGTTAGGTTTTTAAACTTCTAATTTAAAGGAGCAATATGTAAGAAATCTACAGTGAAATAATCACAAAACAGACTAATGTCTCAAGAAAGGATTACCTAAACAGATTTCATTCTCAGCCGGCTAGGGAGTTTTCAGTTCTTTCTTCTTTCATAAAACAACAACAAAAGAACAAAAGAGGGACGGCGTAGTTGTGACCTGTGAGTTTATGAGATTGTAATTTGACACTGACCGGCAAAAACCTCTGGAGTTGTTTAATGAACCAAAACTAGTAAACAGGAGCGACCTAGAAGTTATTTCTTGTACCCCTAAGAAGCCACGGCATCTTTTTGTTTTATTCTATCAGGTGAAGAAGGCTAATGTTGAACTAACAATGCTAACGGTGAATTAGAAGCAAATAGTCTTACCTTTTCCAATTACAAACAACTCAATATTACAGTGAAATGTATGTGTGAAGTGAATAATAAGTCAATTGTGGTGTTTCATGTCCTGTTATTTTCAGAACTATAACAGCAAGACACCTAATCCTAACCCACACTTCCTCTATGCCAGTGAAATACTACAGTAATAATTGTAGTAAGTGCTCCTACTGTAAAACACAGAAGAGTGCTAACACCAGATGTTTTTATGCTTATCAACTTAGTGTGTATGACTTGTCTTCGCTTGTCATTTAGGATCTTCTGGTGCTGATTAATCACTGGCAACAGCCATGAAACTCACTGACTCAGTGACTTGATGTAATTTGCTGGGTTCTTCATATAGGAAACATTATTTCTGATTGGCTTAATGAACTGTGAATTGGAATGTTTATTATGTGAAGTGCCTTGAGACGACTCTTGTCGTGATTTGGTGCTATATAAATAAACTTGAATTGAATTGAATGGCTGTGAGAAAATGATTGCAATTCCCAAAGCTGACCAGAGGATTTCATTCTTCGTTAACTGTTACATATTGCACATTTTTAAAATCAGTGTGGCTATTTTATATGGGCTTAACTGTTTTTTTACTGTTTTCTGTTCACAGGCAACAGGACAACCATATGAACAATACGCCAAGCTGATTTTCATGGAACTAAATGATGCCTGGTCGGAATTTGAAAGCCAAGGACAAAAACCTCTCTATTAAAAACCACGTCAACAACAACAACAACAAAAAAAAGGACGAGTGGGTGGAGATGATAGGATGTCAGATTTTACACGTGTGACCCCTCAATCTGCCTTCATAGCTGCACTTTGACTCACTCTTCCCTTCTCACCCAAAACATTTACCGTCGATGATCACCAAACAGAGACTTGAACAAAAAAATTCCAGATGAATCCACTGTGGTGCAACAGTTACCACCCTTCAGCCCTTTGACCCCCCCCCCCCCCAAACAATGCAACAATCAAAGTTAAGGATGATCAAAAGAGAGAGACCACCAGATAAGAGACAAACACATCAGGGAGCACTGCGAGTAAACATTTCACAACTAAAGAGGCTCAGAAATCAACTAACCCGTGAGCTCAACAAGCTCTTATCCAATAGAAACTGGAGTTTTCTTTTTTTCTGCCTTAACCCTCTCATGCTTGATAAAAGGACAAACAACTAAGTCCTTCAGGGGTGCTTCTGAGTTAAAAAATGCTCCTGAAATACGTACTGTATGTGGAGTAACCAGGTAGGTAGGTTTTAACGTTGCAAATCTGCAACGCCTGCCTCCAGAGGGTTAAAATTGATCCATGATCAGTTCTGTTGTATCAAATCTAGATTTAATTTGGACTGAAATATCACTGAAAACTATTCCGGATCACAGGCTGGGATTAGTTCTGTTACAGGAGGATGACTGAAAAATAAAGGCATCATAGAGATAAGAAAAACTAAATTTACTGTCTGACTGATTACGCGTAGAAACTGAATGATGATGTTCTGGGTGAGTTGCTGACGTGTGTCATTTACCAGATACAGTTTGTTTGTTTGTTTGTTTTGGGACTGAGGATTGTATATTTTAGGGATGAGCACATGCACAGTTCCTTACGTGAAGCAGCTCAAGGCCTCGTGCATTACTCGTAAAGAAAGCACAAACATTTGGTGCAGCTTTTCAAAATAAGCTTCCTTTTTTTAGGTGAAGAATTAAATTAACGGTAAACGTGTTTACATGATTTGGCTTTGATTTTCTACACATATTCATCTTTCTTTACTTTTAACTTTCAACTTTAATTAAATCATTTAGCTTTTTCTTTAGACCTTTCTGTACACTGAAATGCTTTTCTTTAAATTAATACATTTTTGCACCAGTTTATATCAACACTAAAGTACAGGGACTCTGAGCTGTAACTGAAATAATGTGAATTTATTCGTTGCTCATTATTTTTGCTCCATAAATGATTGCTGGGGTCATTAATTTATATGTTAGCTTCCATTTTTGGACGATTAATGCAAAACCTGAAATGCAATGCTCTAAACACACAAAACTCATCATTTTTTTGCTCGTCGTTATCTTACAGTCATTAGATGCTCCCAGACGGAGCGGAATATTTTCCTTTGTGTGTTCACAAACTGATTCACTTCTGTTCATCGGATGGTCTCCATGCTATCGAGCAGCTATGCCTGACAATGTGCTTGTTGATGGGCTTTATTTAATTTTTTTCTTTATTCTGACTGAATTTTGACCTGAAGAAGAAAGTGTCGTGAAGGTTGAATTCATCCACGATGGACCACTAAAGAGAAGGACATTTGTAAATCAGATCCCTGGAATAATAGAAGGTCTTAGGCTGAAACTGCAAAACTTAAAGCTACTGTTTAGTTTTAGTTATAATTTTATTTAAGAGAAGATAACGTGTCTCTGAGGACCTCCGTGTGAAACAACCCCTGTGAGCTCCCTCTCTGACTGAACTGGAATCCTACAGCTATAATGAAGCGCTAACCTCTATAACGTAGTCAGTGGGTGTATGTTGTTTGAATTTGTTGTGTGTATGAGTCGGATCTGAGTCCTCTGTGTCATGTGTTTGCCTGTCTGCTGTTCAAGTATTAACTGAATTGTGTAAAAAAGAAAGATACATGCTTCTTTTTAGTGACTGTTTACTGTTAAAGGATGTACATAATGAGCAAGTGCAGTGCACAACAATAAACAGTAAACAGAGGGAAAACAATTGGCATTTACCTGCGTTTCTCTGTTTGACCACTGGAGGGCAGCAGCATGAAAAAAAAAAACTGCTGTCCTTTAGAAATGAAAGAAAAGAAAAGAAAATGTTTTTCTTATTTAAAACGACTGATAAAATTATTCTGGAGGCTCATTTCTGACACTTTGATAAAAAACAGTTTTTTTATCATTAGAAAATATTACGACTTAAATTTCTGCTTTTTTCCATCAAAGGAGTCAAAACATGCTTCTATAAATTAAAATAAAATGTATAAATTGCATTTTTAATCAGATTTATTATCACAACTTACACATATTTTGTTAATTTTAGTACAGAAACAAACAAAAAAATTACACCATTCTATTTAATACATTATGAATAAGTAATACTGCTAAAATTTGACTATTTGACCCTGTTGTATGAAATAAAGTAGGTAATATTTAATAATTATATTCTCGCAAGTCCCTCCCCTGGCCTTTACTGCAAAACAAATCATTAACTCGAGCCTGGAGCTTTGACCATCCACAAGAGGAAGCTGTCAATCAACAAGAATGTGTCTTGGTCTGCAGCGTGCTTGATGCCAGAAGAACCCAGAAGTTTGCAACAAATATTAATGTTACCGATTTTTTAACAGCCTTCAAGTTGTCAAAGAAACTTTAAAAAGTTAGGACTTGCTGTGAGACGTTTACGACAGTTGAGTAGAAATAAAATTTGAGATGCTTTAAAAAAATGGAGTGTTCCGTGGTCTGCATGGGCTCAAAACTGATGAAGAGTTGGCAAAGTTTAGTTTGGACATGTAAGTAAATACTTAGTAATTTGTTGTATTTTAGAGAATTGTAACTGAAATTTTATTTAGATAAAAGAAATAATAGTGCAGATAATTGTTGTATGCTGTATTTAGGCTAAAATGGCGCTAGCTTGAATGCTAGCTTGACCTGCATTGAATTAATGTCAGTCTGTAAACTCAACACATTCTCACACCCGAAGCGGCTAAAACTGACGAAGGGTGGCCAAGCGTTGGGAGCCCCAACACGTCGGAGGTGACACGCTGTGACGGTGCGTCGCTTTCCAATGCCCGCGGTAAAACGAACATTTCACTGATTTTTCACCTCTAACCTCTAGCAATTTAACCTTCCTCTCATCCCATCCTAACCTTAACCCACTTGCGCATGCAAAACGTTGTTTCTAGTTGTATTGTTCCTCTCAAACATGGTTAACGGGAAATTTAGAACGAGAAACTGGGTTAAGGTTAGGATGGGGGTGAGGGGAGGGTTAAATCGCTAGAGTTTAGAGGTTAAATGTCCGTTTTACTGCGGGCGTCGGAAAGCAACGCGTTGGGAGCCTCAACGCGTCGGAAACAAAAGCTTGGTCACCCTTCGTTAGTTTTAGCTGCTTCGGGTTGAGAATGTGTCGGTAAACGTCATGCTAACTGAGGAAGTGGAGTGTGGGGAGTGTTGGAGCTAAGTGATTAGCACAACCATATGCTGCTACATTGGATTATAGGACCCTTGGCGTGTGAAGTCACCCCCCACGCCCCACCCCCATCCCACCGGAGAGCAAGAGGACAACACCTCCCCGTCGACCACCTTTGTGTTTGCCATTCAAATTTCTCTTCCTCTCCACGATGACGTAACTCTACGAACCACGTGCATTAATCCGATAGCTCATATTTGTCTTTATTATATTAATACACGTGATTTGGTAAAACATCTTGGTGAAAGGTAGAGTCAATGTTTTTTTATTTACTTCATGTGAGAAGGTGTACTTGTTGAGTCTGAACATGAAACTTAAGGATTTTTTTCTCCTTTTAGGTTTTAATCATTGCAACTGTGTGAAAAGCGAAGGTTTTGTTAATAAAATATAATCTGTTCAGGGAACCGGTTGAGTTATAACCACCTGCTTATGGAGTCTCTTTCATGTCTTCAGTGACCTGCACATCCAGAGGTCGTCATTAAAATATAGACCAACTTTCCTGTTACTGGACTGCAGCCAGCTCATGGACTTTATACCCAAGGAGAATTCTTGAAGAGTCTTCTGGTAAAGCTGGGAGACAAAAACTCCAAATTATCAATGGGGAAAGCTGCAAAATCTTCAAAGATGCTAAATGTCCCCATGTTTCAGTACAAATCCAGTTTAAAATTTGTGATGAAGAAATCTTTGGTGCCTGTGGTCATCAGGGCAGTAACCCCCAAATTGAAGGAGTAGCTAAAGCAAATCCCAGGAAAATCATCTCAGTCCAGAAAAGTGCAGTTCTAGGAACAGCTAAGATACTGCAGAACCCTCAAGCTCCCAGGTCTCTGGTAGAGAACCTGAGCTTGGAGGGATGAGACCTCCTGCAAAGGGTGGGATGGGACTTTTTATATTTTTCATCATTGAAATTAAAGATTAAATATTATGTTTTATCATCATCATCATCATCATCATTGTCACCATTATCATCATCATCAACATCGCCATCAGCCTCATCATCATCATCGTCATCATCATTGTCACCATTATCATCACAATCATCATCATTATCATCATCATCATCACCATCACTATCATCATCATCATCATCATCATCATCATCATCATCGTCGTCATCGTCATCACCATCACAATCATCATCATTGTCACCATTATCATCACTATCATCATCATTATCAAAATCATCATCATTATCACCATTATCATCATCATCATCATCATCATCATCATCATCATCATCATCATCATCATTGTCACCATTATCATCACTATCATCATCATCAACATCGCCATCAGCCTCATCATCATCGTCATCATCATCATCATTGTCACCATTATCATCACAATCATCATCATTATCATCATCATCACCATCACTATCATCATCATCATCATCCTCATCCTCATCATCATCATGATCGTCATCATCATCATCATCACAATCATCATCATTGTCACCATTATCATCACTATCATCATCATTATCACAATCATCATCATCACTATCAACATCATTATCACCATTATCATCAGCATCATCATCATAAACCGCCATCATCATCATCATCATCATCATCATCATCATCATCATCACAATCATCATTGTCACCATTATCGTCACTGTCATCATCATTATCATCATCATCATCACCACCATCATCATCATCATCATCATCATCATCATCATCATCATCAACATCGCCATCATCCTCATCATCCTCATCATCATCATCACTATCATCATCATTATCAAACTCATCATCATTATCACCATTATCATCACTATCATCATCATCAACATCGCCATCAGCCTCATCATCATCATCATCATCATCATCATCATCATCGTCATCGTCATTATCATCATCATCATCATCATCATCATCATCATCAACATCGCCATCAGCCTTATCCTCAGCATCATCACTATCATCATGGGGCTATGGTAGCACAGGAGTTATGTGCTTGCCCCGTAATCGGAAGGTTGCAGGTTCGAGCCCCACTCAGTTTGTTGCTGTCGTTGTGTCCTTGGGCAAGACACTTAACCCACCTTGCCTGCTGGTGGTGGTCAGAGGGACCAGTGGCATCAGTGTATGGCAGCCTCTCTTCTGTCAGTGCGCCCCAGGGCAGTTGTAGCTATGATGGAGCTCATCACCACCAGTGTGTGAATGTGTGTGTGAATGGGTGAATGACTGTATGGTAAAGCGCCTTGAGGGTTCCAGTACTCTAGAAGGCGCTATATGAAATACAGGCCATTTACCATCATGATTATCAGCATTATCACATCATCATCATCATCATCATCATCATCATCATCATCACAATCATGGTAATGGCCTGTATATCTATAGTGCCTTCTTAGGGTTCTACAACCCCCCAAGGCACTTCACAACACAATTCACACACACATTTACATGTTGCTGATGATGAGCTACGATGTAGCCACAACTGTCCTGGGGCACACAGACAGAGGCGAGGCCTGCTGAACACTGGTGCCACCGGTCCCTCTCACCACCACCAGCAGGCTTAAGTATCTTGCCCAAGGACACAGCAGCATTCTCTGGTAGGAGCCAGGATCGAAAAAAAAAACACTTAAAGTAATAAAAGCATTGAAAAGAACATCTGTTCTAGAATGAGAAATCAGAGCCAATTATGCCTTTCATCACAAGGGAAGGCTAAACAGTAAAAATGCATCTTCAAGCATTTCTCTTTTAAACAGTGTTGGAACTTGTCTAACAGATATTAGCTACTGCATTCCACATCATTGATGCCAGGACGGAAAAAGGCCGGTCTCTCCTGGATTTACACCAAGCCCTCGGAGCCATTAACAAATCCTGCTCTGCCAATCAGAGAGGGCGAGTAAGAACATGCTACTGTTGGAGATCCACCTAGTAGGATGTTTAATTAGAAATGAAAATGAAATTAATCAGTTTTATCAAAAATGGACCAACAACGTTTGTAGACCACCCTTAGGAAAAGTCATTATAACAAGTTCCACCTTCCTCAGGATCCACTGATTTCCCTCTTTCCTATTCACTCTCTCTCTTTCTTTACATTTTTTAATAACAATTGTCTATTTTTTTGCTAATTTTAAATATATTTTTATTCATTTTCTAAATTTTTTTGATATTTTACATTTTTTGTTTTTGTGAAGCGCCCCGTGGTTTTTATCTTGAGAGGCGCTATAGAAAAGGTCTTTTCTTCTTCTTCTTTCTTCTTCTTTTCTTTAGAGAAACTGGTCGTGCTGGAGGTTGAAAATTATGTCCAAACAGGAAGTGAATTTCTGATCATAAAATATAAAAAAATAAATAAAATGTTTCTCCAAACCAAATTTGGCACTAAAGGCCTGAATCTTGTTTAAATAAAGATAAGAAAATTTTGTCATGATCATATGATTAGAGCAACCTGCAGCTGAAATCAAACACAGCTGGCAGGTCAATAAGTAAGTGTGTGTGTGTGTGTGTGTGTGTGTGTGTGTGTGAACCTGTAATTGTATGTGTAGAAATGTGGAGTTCTCCTTCCACAACTCTAGGCTTGAC